AACAAATGGGAAAAAGATATAATATTATAGTTTGCTATTGTGTAACTTCACGAAATGTGGTGAAATGTGTTAGAAAGAGAGAAAGAGAGAGAGAGAGAGAGAGAAGAAGTAAAATAAAAGATAGGTAGGCTTGAAACGAAGCTACCTGTTGAGCTAGTTCGTTCACAAGCAAGCAGGCCTCTGAAGAGGCCGAGTCACTCAAAGTCAACCTTTAAGCGTCAAGAAAATATCGTAGAAAAAGCGATATTTTTCTCTATGTAAGACTAACTTTTTCCTCCCCCCCCCGCCCCACCCACCATCTTTCTAGGATATTGGAAAAAGAATTCCCAATTTCGTGAAAAGAGTTGTTAGATTTGTATCGAATCGATTCTTTGGAACGTTACACGTTTTTTTCGTCTTTAACTTGTTCCACCTATTTCTAAACTTGTTTTTTTATTCGTTTAAAAAATTTCTTAACTATCATACAAAAGAGAATACTAAACACGAATTTAATGATTTTATTTTTTTATAATATAAATATGATATTATTTCAAATAATTGTCACATATAATTATCATTTCGTATATGGGAACGTATAAAAATATTTTACAATTGAAAAAAGCGTGGTGCGAATGATAAAAAGAAAAAAAAAAAATTAACGCGTGTTAAAAATTGTGTTGACAATCAATACGGCTTATATATTATCACGAAACTCGTAAAAATTTAAATATAAGAATGTATGACTCAAGAGTTTCATCATAGAGGGATTAAAGATACATTTCTATAAGTAAGATAAAAATGATCGGTCATATTCGATTTGAGGATACTTCAAAGATAAAGTCAAGAAGTAATTTTTTGACGATAAGAATCGTGTTATTATGATACTTGTGAAAATTATAGGATTAATGTGGTATTAGTAGTAGTAGTTCATTAATAATTAATCTAAATTATAATATTTAAAAACATAATTTATATATCTATATATATTATTTTCGCGTTTGTGTTTTTCAAAAAATGTTTTATAAAAGATTTCGCTTGTTTATATCGATTTTATCCGATCGATAAGTAAGAAGAACAAAGTAAAAGAGTAGCAATTGAGAGCTGATTGATCCCGTTAGTTGTTATTGTTGTTGTTACGTAGTTATAGATAATACCTTTGATCTGAAGCATCGAACTGTGAGACTTCGTTAAAATAGACGTTACCTTGTCAAAGATTATATGTGCTTGGCAACAACAGCTGAAAGGTACTCGTGTTCTTTTTTTTTTTTTTTYTTTTTTTTTTTCTTTTTCCCCCTCGTTATATTGGAAAGAAACTTGATTCTTAGTATCGTTAATCTTTCAATACTTGTCATGTAACTTTCGAGTCATACTGTGTCATAAATGTTTTTTTTTCTTTTTTTTTGGTTTTTATCTTTTTAATATAAAAGTAATTGCTAACGTATATAGTTGAAGATTGATAATCTAATATTTATGGAAGTTATTATATTGGGTAGACAACTAAGTGATCCTTCCTCTTTAAAAAATAGAAATGAAAAATAGAAAGATTCGCGTAGGAGATATTTCGTTTAGGTAAACGAAACTATAAAACTAATTAAAAAAGAATGAAATACATTGAGAAAATAAATATTGTTCTTTAAATTCTTAACTGATATTAAAATATGCCGATAAGAAAAAATTCTATTGATTAAAAATATTATTAACTTAATATAAAGACATGCGCAACGTTCGGAAAAGTCATATAAACAACAACTTTTAATAAAAGTATTTTCACAGGGAACAATGATCCATTTCAACGGTGTATTTCGAAGAGGACGGAGCTCCGAACATATATTCCGAGTTTTTTAACAACAATAGACATTTCTATCGATTAATTAACAATTATTTTAATATTTTAATTAACTCTTCTTTTATATTTAGATTGTTTAGTAGTATATACATTTTTTTGCATACATATTAAATAACTATTAATATACTTTGAACATTAAATAATTAATAATTTGAGCCCACCTACTCGAAGTCATCATTACGCAGGAACATTAAAACAAATATACTCTTTCCAAAATTCTTTAGACTTACTTGCAAAATATTCAATAGAATTTCAATAGATTTTTCAATCCAATAGTTCGTATATTTAATATAGGATAATCTAATCTCATATTATTTATTATAATATAATATTAAATTTATTATATAGTATAATTGTGCATTATATTTTTATGTGTATCATATAATTAAAAAATTGAAAAAATAATAGATTCGTTATGTAGAAAGAAAATACAAAAAAAGGAACGAAAACGAATGTGGAAAGAACATGCTTTAAATACGGTTACACGTGAGAGGATAATATTATGTTCGGGAAAAAAAACGAAAATTTTGTCATAAAAATAAAAATCTATCTCTCTCTCTTTCTTTCACTCACGCATTCGTACAATTTTCACTTCGTATTACGATTCATGGTCAAAAAAAAAAAAAGAAAGAAAACCCGAGGAAAGAATAGAATATTCATTTCGTTTTAACCGATTTCGTTTTTTCCCTTGGAAATCATCTCACAGCCTCTTTGCTACGACGAAAAGAAAAAGAAAAAAAAATTTCCACGGAAATATTTCAATAGGAAATTTTTTGACCTGAATATGCTGCTTCTTTCATCCTTGTCTCTCTATCTTCAATAATTAATTAAATAATTAAAAAGAAAAGAAAGAACAAAAAAAAAGAAATAGGAACAATAGAATTTTTTTTTCTAATTAATTAAACTCAAATTATTTAATATTTATTACGCGGTAATTACTTGCGTGTAAATGAAAGAGGGGTAAAAGAAAATGGAAAAAAGTAATAATAATACTAATAATAATAATAATAATAATTGGAATAAATAAATCGACAGGATTCTATTTGATTCGATTCGTATGATTAATTCGCATGACATGAGCCACCTCGTTGCTTAATTTATCACAATTGACATACCATAATCGTAACACGCGTACGCATATGTCACCAATGAGAGATAAATATATATATATATATATATGTAGTAGTAATTCGTGAAAACGTTTCGCGGAATTTTATCGGTGACAATGACAGTGCAATTAGAGTGCGATTGGTTCGTTGATAAAAAAGAATACCAGGTTCGGGGGTTTACTCGTGTTGAATTAAAACCTTGGGATAATAATCATCGACTTATTTGATCGTACGACATGCTGTACCAACCAAATTTTCTGGATTCCAATAAAAACAATTATATAAATTATTTATTACTTGTCAAAATAATACGATTGTTGTTTGTTGTTGAATTTTGAAAACGTTGATTTCGTGTTATTACAGAAAAAAAACAAATAGAAGTAACTTAAAATAAATATGTGATTAGATATTAAATTATTATATAAAAATTTAATTGAAATCAAACAAAATTCGTTTATAAAAATAATCAATAACCGAATGTGAAAGAAAAGTATGTGTAATTTCGTTATCAACATAACAAGCCCGTTATATTTGCACAATGTCCAACATTCAAATTTGAGTATTAAATAAAAAATGTGTTTTCACCTGCTGTTGAGGAGAAGATAGGAATACGTTTAAGTAACACATGTTTAATATTTCATGACAAAAAGAAATGAAAAAGAAAAAAACAAGAGAAAAGGATGAATATGAAATTCTAATGTTTTAAAATTCCGTGCGCATAATCCAACGGAACATATGTGAGCTCGAATAAATAATATTAAATGACATGCTTCAACTTGCAAATTGTCATTATGTTCCCGAGATACTATGGGAATTTCCCCAATTCTCAAACCGTTAAAGCGTAACGTAAGAATTTAAACGTTTTACTTGCAAATTATTCGATTCCCTGACGTTATCAAGTTGAAAATAATTTTTCTAATTAACGATACCTACTTTCTTGTTTTTTTTTCCAATAATTATATATACATACATGATCCGTGAATTTTGTTTTAACACCTGGATATTAAATTGTTATACTGATATAATTTGTAACTAATATCGTGCAAAATATTTATTCTCTGCGATAATACAATATTTTTGATATTAAATATTGAATAATTTGTTCCAGTTATAGAATTAATTATTTAATCGGATACTAACAAAGCCAGTCTATGTTTGAAAATAATTAAGATTTATACCATAAATAATTTCATTCTATTGTAAAAATAATCCCAACTTCTCGAATATATAGCATCTTGAAAAACAAATTATTTAAATAAAAAAATAAGTTAATCAGTTTAATCATAAGTTATTAAGTTTAATCATAATCGGAACGTGTGTTAGATTTCATTTTGTCAGAACCAAAATGTTTCTTTTTCAAATTTTCAATTATCTCTCCCTCTCTCTCTCTCTCTAACAGAGGGTTAAAAATTTACAAAAAATAAAAAGGAAAACAAAATAAAAAATTAGACTTTTATATATATATATATATATATATATATAGATTAACATTTTTCTTGATAAGATTAAATCGATTAACAACGATTGTTTTTAGTAAAAGATGAACGAGCAAGAAAGTCGGGATGCATCATCCTTCCTCTTGTAATCGAATCACCGACATCATTTCTCCTACCATCCTCACGGGACTTCTTCCTACGCCAAAATTCCGAATCCGTTTTATCGATCGTCTTCGTCTTCGTCTTCGTCGTTGTAGTCGTAGTCATAGTCGTCGTAGTTGTCGTAGTCGTTGAGGTTGGCTTTTGAACGACTTGGACTTTCTCGATGGAACGAAGTTCCTCTTTCGACATGGACAAAGCGACACGAATGATCTCTATCATTTTCTCCGAAGATTCTGGCCCTTCCTCTTCAACTTTTTCCTCATCCTCTTGTCCCTTTTTCCATCTCGGCAACATCTTACTCGAATCATCGATCGACTCGTATCCCATTTTAGAATTTATTTTATCGATTTCTTTCGAATTCCTTAAACTTTCCTCCTCCCCCTCCTCTTCCCCCTCCTCCTCCTCCTCCTCCTCCTCGTCCTCGTGAGAATCTTCGTTATCATAAATATATTCGTTTAATGATTCCTTTACATTTTCTTTATCATTATTCTTATTCTCCTTTTTCTTCTGCATCTTTCCCATTTCCGCTTGATGTTGCATCAAAGTCGTTTTATCGATAACGTAGGTAGCATTAGTTACCTGACTCTTCAAGGACGTCGTACTACTACTACTACTACTACTACTACTATTAGTCAGTCTTACTAAACCATTCGTTGGATTTTCGAAATCCGAATGATTGTTCTTTTCCTTTCGAAATGTTCTCGATGTTGAATTTCCGATCATTTGTTCATTTACTTCTTCTTCTTCTTCTTTTTCTTCTTCATCTACTACTTCTTCTTCTTCTTCTAAGTTTCGTGACGATGAACGCAAAGAGATAGTATCATTTTCCATAGTCGAATCATTTTGAGATATTTCTTGTTCATCAATTTCTAACTCGTTTTTGGTTTTAGATGAAAATACAATTGTCCTCAAGAGAGTTGTCAAATCAACGATAAGATTTTGAATGTAAGAGAGCATCGGTGTGTCACCTTCCTCTTCGCTGATCCTAGCGCAAATCCTCAATTCCTCCAAGGCCTCGGAAAATCTACCGAGTTTAACCAATGCCTGAGCGCGTAAGAGTTTACCGTGAAGGATCCATTTATTCGAGACGATATCTTCAGCAATTTCCAAAGTACGGGTACCTGTATTAAACGCTTTCATAAATTGACCAGTTTCCAAATAACAACGTCCAATTTCATGATTAATCCAAGCACTTATAACAGGTTCTAAATTTAAATTTTTGGATAAGTGTTCCCATGCTTTAGCTGCCGCATCCAAATGATCGAAACTCAAATGTACCTTGCCCAACGTTACCAATGCTTGCGACATTAATATACAATCTTTGCTCATTTTTGCCGAATATATCATTTTAGCGACGTAATTTACCGCTCTGTCGTGTCTACCTAACATCACCTGTGTCAAGGCCAAATAACGATGAGCTTCTATCTCGTATCTCTTAGTTTCTTCGATTCCATTAGAAATTGTTAACAATTCTTTAGCGTATTTCATGGTAGAGTTAACGTTACCCGAATGAAAAGCTGTTTCTAATTTATTCAAACTCGTGTCTGCCATCATTTTCATACGATTTAATAAAACGTTAGATCGCGTCAAACGTAATCTTGATATACTCGTGTTCGTTGACGATGATCCCTTCCATAAGTTTTGATGCTCGTCGAAGTAACTGAATTCAATATAAATTATTAGTAAATATTACGTAATGTGTATCTTAGTTTTTTCTTCTTTTTTTTTTTCTTCTTTTTTTTTCGAATAAATAATAATCAATTACGCGAGACACGCGTGATACACGTTAGAATTTCAAACTAATTCCGGGATATGAAATATTAACGCGTTCACTGTCGATCTGCCGTTGCATAAATCAGGAGTATATATACTTAGATCAATTTTTCAAGAGGAATATTCATGAAGTATATCTTCACCGTTATGTCAGACGCGAATCTACATTATGGTCGATACTTCCTTAAGAAATACTTGTTAGATTTTTTAAAAATGATACGTGTAAAGTAGTTTACTTTAATATTAAATTTTTCTCTTTTTTTTTTTTCTTTTTTCCCTTTTTATCTTCTTCTTCTTTTCTTCTTTTAAAAAACGAATTTACATTATAGGCATAGTTTTTTTTTTTTTTATTCACGCAGTCTCGCGTAAATATTATTTCAGATTTTCAGTCATTCTCAAGAGAGACAGTGAACGCGTTATTTGATAAAGTAATTAAAGTTGAGTAATAAATTAAAATTGTATTTTGTTTTTTTCTATATTCAAATAAACCAACACTTTGTTATATATAATTTTCATCAAATTCTTATTAGAAGATGGTAAATAATTCAAGTAGTATACTATTTATTATAGTAATTTATATGTCATTTATTATAAAAAAAAAATATTAAAAATCTCTAATAAAATATATATATATATATTATTTCAAATAATTTCTCTAATCATTTATAACGATACACTTTGTAAGTGTTGTTTATTTAAATATAACAAAATAGTTAATATTTCAAATAATATTAGTGTTAAATCAAGAAAATATTCTTTTCTAATTCTAATAAGTTGTTAAACGTTTTCGACAAATATATAGGTATGTGAACTATAAAACTTCTTAGAAATTACCTTAGAACTTGGTTAACAGAAGTGAAATCTGGAGACTGTCTGAGAACATTAGATGCTTTAATGGCTGCCGCTTCGGGGCAAAGTGCGATCGTCAGTTCCGAATCATGATTCGTTTTCGACATGAACTTTCGCAAACGTTTCGATGGATTTTGCCATGAGTTAATCATAGTTGCCGTTCGCCTAACTGCCGCATTATGACTACCATCCCTGGGACAAACGTTTGCTGCTCTATGATACAATACCAATGCAGTCTCGTAATTCCCTCTGTAATTATAGTAATTAAACATTTCATTATACTCAATTAAATCATTCCCTATATATATGTTATTGTATCAATTAATCAATTAATCACGTGACTTTTCTTTATTGGAAATATTAAAACAGGAATAGGTGACAATATTGTTAACATTTCATTCATGATTTTACAAGACAATATTCTAATATTTATTTAATATTTCATTATTTCAATATAATATAGATGAAAAAGTTCAATTGGATCATTTGAAATACACGCGGTATATAATACAAGGTGTCCAAGGTTTTTTTTCCCCTTATCAAACGACGTCAACAACAACAATTTCTTATAATAATTTGTTATAAATAAAAAAGAAAAAATAGTGAATAAAAATGAACGTTTGATCGTACTTTTGATATAATTGATCAGCTTCTTGATGCAAAGCTTGGGCAAATTTTCGATCTTTTCCAATGAAATTGCTTGTAGTAGTATTGTTATTGGTAATTTGCATAGTTTTACGTGCACGATTTATCGCACGTTCGACAGCCTTTTTCGTTTCCTCGATGTTACCAAATTCATCTTTAATCTCATCGTCAGTCAGTATAGTTACGGATCTCGTTTTCGTTTTAGTACTTATCAACGTCGACGTCATCTTATATTTCCATTATCATATTGAAGAAGAAAGAGGAACTTTCATGCTTAAAACAAGTTAGAAGTGAAGCCTAACAAGTTAAACGTTTAGACTCAACCTAGAAACCGTTTTCTTCATAGATAAATTTCAAACGTTAAGTAAGTCTTTTGTTTATCACGTTTAACCAAGATAAGATGATTATCGATATAAATCGAAAATCTAAAAATTGAATTCGATCGAACGAACGACCAGTTGGATGATGAATAAATTATGCGAAATACACCACACGAACGGAAGTCTTGAAATTTTCTCAAAAAAAAATTTCCCCGATTAATGAATAAATAATACAAATTTGTCTATAGATATCTTTTATTTACACAATTAGTTAAACGAATAATTATTATTAAAACAATAGAAATAAATTCTTAAAAACGAACGAACGCTTAAGTTGAATATTTAGTTCGATTAAAGGTCATCGCAATTATTAACACAAATAATAACGCTACGTTTACAGAATACAATTTGAATATTCGAGAAACTGTGAAGGGGTTGAGGGGTTTAGGGGTGGGGGAATCAGAAGTATGATATAACACAAATAAAAAAAAAGAACAATGTGAAATTCGCGGAATAGGAAAATCCAATTTTGTTGTACGGTAGTATTATACGTGTTGTGTCGTCATGTGATGTTCATTCGTAATCTTGAAAATCTAGGAAACCGGGTCTTTCTTTTGACGGAGCGTATTGAGCAAGCAAAGCTTGCCTTGCTTCCTTTTCAGGATTCTTCGGAGGACTCGGCAATATCGTATTCCGTTTGCAGGAAAACTTGAATTTACGGTCGACTGGTTTACAACCAGGCATTACGGAAAGTCTACGTTTCGCTGGTACTACTTCCATACTGCGAAAAAGAAAATCCACGTTGTTCTTCAATTCTTCTGGCATAAGTTCGAGTATGAGCTTTTGCCTAGCTGCGATACTGTCCGTTGTTATCGTCATCCTTTCCAAATCCAACTCGTCGACTATATTCAAAGCTCTGGTGTAAAAATCTACCTGTTGAATTTTAGAAACAAAACAAAATAAAAAAAACAACTTTACCAAATTGATTTGACTCTTTTATCAGGATATACTTTGACACGAGTATGTAGATCGATAATAACAAAAATTGTTAATTATTATAAACATTTCAAATTACACGTTGTTTAAAATATCATTTTAAAAAAATGCATCGATAGTAATGCGTTAAAGTATTAACAAAGAACACATTTTTCTCGTGAATAAATGTGTTGGATGATTCAAATTAGTAGAAATGTTTTAATTAGCGAATTTTAAATTGAACATAGAGAATATTCAAATGTACCAGATAATCGATTCCAAGCTTTTTAGCTGTAGCAATGGCAGCAACTGCAGCCTCTTTAGCATCGTTCCGATTGTTTTGAGAGAACTCGACTAGCATAGTCATGTGGGTGGCATTTAGTATCCATTGTTCGTTCTTAGCTTCTATTGCTGAGTCACGTGACTTCTTGGCATAATATCTAGCAAGATCGTAACGACCCAATTGTATGAGAAATTTGGAAAAATCGTGAAACAACCATGCTAATTCCAATGGTTCGGATGCCATAGCCAATCTACGTCGAAACGTTTGAAGTTCATTTTTACGCGTTGTTATCTTCACCCACGCTAATTCTCTTTCCCTCGGCAATCGTGCAACGCGTTCTAATAAATGATGTTTCAAATATCTCATCTTAGTTTCTTCGTCATTAAAACGCATTAAATTTCTCGTATCTATGTAAACCCACGCGATCATTTTGTAAAGTACGTTCAAACATTTCTGTTTTAACGGAAACATCTTGCTCGAGTACGAATCGAATTTGTCCTTTATGCGATTGACGTATCTAAAGTCAAAGGTGAGGTAGGAGGTAATTTTATATCGATTCAAAATATAATCATTTTATTTTAATTGTATTCTCTTATAGAGAGAACCTTTTCAAACAATTTACTTTGTCATATATTATGAAAAATATAAATGTATGTTTATATGTGTGTGTGTGTGTGTATATAGGAAAAGGATCTATCGTCGTTGAGTTCATTGAGCATTTGTCAATTATTTTGAAACAATATGCAAGATATTTCGTTATCAATTAAACGTCGTCACCTCTGACATTACGTTGCATCTTTATTGTATCAGTCACATGCTTGCTACGTGTGGGAAATGGCAAGACTGAACAAATATAATATTGATCGTCGAATGTACCTAAGCACGCGGGTGTTTGCTTCAACGTATGAATAATAGATCGATAAAATGTAACACGAAGTGTGTTGCAATGATATCATTTTAATCGTTATTATTTAAATATTTCATACGAATCTCCCTTTCTCTTGAAAATATCTGATTAAATACTATTATTTGCGAAAGTGTGTTTCAAAAATTGGAATGAATATTTTCTATGTAAAAATAAAATTACATTGCATTGTGAAATATAAAAATACCTGAAAAATGTTGGATAATCTCTGTTCATTCTAGCGGCGTGCAAGCTTCGTAATAAAAAATCTGCAAGCACTATTAGATTGTATCTCTTCAATTTCTTTTCATTTTCAAGCATAACTCTGTGACCAATCGTTCGAGCATCCCTAGCGAACAACATTACGTAAATTGGCCAACTGGTACGAATGATACTTTGACGGAATTTGGTCTTTCGCAAACTTCTTTCAGCGTGATATTGCAATAGCTTAGTCGATTCTTTGTTTGGCGACTCCAAGAGTTGTTTATCTTGGGCCAATCGTTCACGAAATTCCTTTTCGGAAGCTATTAAACCTAAATAAATCTTAGCAATGACATTTTGAAGCTTTGCCTTGTATGCTTCTTCTTGAGCAACTGGATCATTCACCTTGAACTTTGATTGATCCTCATCGATACCTAATTGTCGTCGATAAATCAATTACTTAAACTCTCAATAACTCTTCTTCTTCTTATTCTTTTTATTCAATCATTTTTTGTTCGTTGACATTTAACCCTTTCGTTATTGCATACTTTGACACGAGTATTGTTCCATGTAAATTTGTTCGTACAATACGACCCCTATGTGGTTCGATAAAACTAGTAACGAAAGGGTTAATATTATCAATTTTCAATATTTATTAAATTAATTAATGTTTAATAATTATAAACATAATAAATTTTTGTTTCGAGAATAAATTCTTTTAATAAGTTATAATATTTACAATAGTGTGTAATGCGCGTGAACAAAAATATATATTTTCTTTAATTGAAAATTATTCTATAAAGTTCTATATATATCTAATTTATATTAGTATTTTTAATTAAAAAAAATATTACCTCGACCTGACCGATTCGATGATTCGAAGATTACTATGCAACTTTATCGTTCGATTTCGTATCGACAAAAAAAAAAATGAAAAAAATGAAAAATAAAAAGTAGTAATAAGAACAACTAATGAAAATTCAATCGTCGCTTGAAATAAGATATCGAATATTTGAATATAAAATAGGGATCTCGAAGTATCTCTTTTTTTATTTTATATTCTCTCACCTTCGAACTCGTCTGTTTCCAATTTGAGCTTTTCGATCAATACTTCACGATATTCTTGCAACTTTTGGATCCAAGGTAAAAGACGTTCCAAAGCGTCCGGTACAGTGTTCTGACCAACACAAGTTTCTATTGTTTCATTGGCTCGATAAATGCTCAATTCGAAGGGCATCCTACGTTGCCGGAAACCATTGTAAGCATGGACCAAACTATAGCAAAATTCTCCCATTCGATATAACGTATCGACTCTCATTTCCTTTACGTGATAATTGTTTGGATCTTTGAAATATATTTTCATTAAATCAATCACACTTTATAAAATAAATAATTAATTATTAAACATTTGTTATAATCCTTTGGTTAAATATATGGGTTAATCAGTAGGTAATAAATATAAATTATTAATAAAAACACAATATATATGTTTATTCGATACTGAAATTTAATTATATTTGTAATGATAAAAATATTTATAAAAAAAACTATACATCAAGCGTATAGAAATATTTAACTCTTATATTATTATATATAAGAATTATTATTAATTATGTATTTATAATAACAATAATAATAATAATAATACATTTGTATGTATAATTATATAATATAATAGATATATACGCGTTTTCATACCTAATACCATACATCTTTCAGCCAATTGAGCAGCGTCGACGTATTTTGTAAAATTAAACTGAGCTTTGCTAAGTCCGAGAAGCGTCCTTACGTCATCCTCATCCAATTTCATAGCCTTTTCATAATAAGTTACTGCTTCGAGATTCTTGTCTATGGTTGTAAAACGACGAGCCCATTCTCTGTAAAGAATTTTCTCCTGAAATATTTCCGGTGGCTCGTCCTTCTTACGTTTTTGCATTCCAATACCTTGCGGCATTTTCTAAACGTCGATTACAAATACACATTTGTTATTATATAAACAAAAATTTCCTACGATTTTTTTTCAATCGTTACTAACCTATTTTTCTTTTTACTTTTTTTTATTAAACCTTAAAAAGAGAGAAAAAAAAATGTGGGGGGAGGAAGAAGCGAATAAAATGATTTCGATATTTCTACCAACGAATTTTAATATTTCACTAATTCTATTTACAATCAATTCTTTTTCAATTATTTTACATTTTTATTTTTTTTTCAAATTACTGTAATTTTGTGTTCGTCGACCTACGAATGGTCAGGTCGTTGACCAACGTCAAGAAAAGAAAAAAAAAGAAAAAAAAGTCGACAGAAAGCGCTAATTTCATTTCCATCCGAAAATCGTGTGGCGCGTGATTATTTCGCAAATTAAAGGAAAACAAAAAAAAATAGAAATACCTATAAAAAAGAAGAGATAGAGAGAGAGAATAATCTAAAAAAAAAAAACAGAAATTCCGTACGAACAAGCACCCTATCGCTTTTATGATTTGAACTAAAAATAATCCTTTGCAATAGGTAGCAATTAATACCACAAAGGCGGATCCACGTTATATATATATGTACGTAGGAATACTTTTCAAAATGAAATCCGATTAAATTCTCGGACGAGTGAAAACGCGAGCAGCACGTAGAAAAGAGAATTTGAGGTTGTAAAATAGTCCTTATATAATATTACAAGTTTCTCGCGATTTTCCGTGCTTTCAAATGAATGATACTTTTCAAAGGTCGTCCATATTATAATTTACCCTTCCCTTTCTCTTTTCATTTTTCTCATTTTTCATTTTAAACAAAAACGAAAGAGAAAAAAAATAGAAGAAAAAAAAATAGAAGAAAAAAAAAATCAAAGAACGTATCCTTTCGTAGAAAAACTTTCTCGAATCTTTGTGGTGTAGTATTCAACAATTTTTAAGATCATTTCTCTTTACATCGTATACTACATTTATTCGTTACTTTTAATCAAAAGGAAAAAGAGAAAAAGATACTTGTCGTTATTAACAAAAAAAATATGAAAATTCTTATAATCTTGAACTTTTTCGTTACGGTATATTTTGAAGGACATGTGGGTCGATAGTAACGAAAGGGTTAAAAATGAACACTGGATTTACGGAGTGAAACAATTTGACTCATTTAAAATTGTTCTCTGCTACACATATATTAAATTTAAATATTATTTTTTGTTTAAATATATATATGTTGATTTTTACTACCTTAATGAAATATACGTAAATATAAATTCCTCCCTTTTACTTACTTCTTCATTTAAATAATGTTCGTAAGCCTTTAAAAAAATAGCGAACAAAATCTAATGTTAAATCTAATGGTTTTTTTTAAATACACGTATTTATAATTATTAAAAATTCTTTCACGATGATTACAATTTTGGTGACAAATTCTACATAGCATTTTTTTGTTTTTTCTTGCAGGAAAGAAAAAAAAAGAATCGAAGAAACGTTATATCTGAGATAAGCTTGAAGGAGGTAACACGAATTGAAATCATCGAGATGCGGTGATGGCTTTACTTTACAGATTCGTGCAACTGCCAGATCGCAGCGGCACGCGGGTATTTTCATTCGTCGTTACCCGAAGTGTCGTACGCGATCCAGAAAGGGATGTTACCAGCAAAGAATTAGTTTGTGGCTTCCAAAGATGGGCGGTAGCATTTTCACGGGGAGACAAGGTAAGTAAAAATATATATTTCATTATTCTTAACACACACACACATATACACATATAATCGTCAGAGATTTTTTGTTTTTAAATGAAACACCGATGGACGTTCAAATTCGTTTGATCAAATTTCATATAAAACGAATTCAAATGTATCTTCCTTTGAATACATCTCGCGAAATAATAACCACTTGCAAATGAATTTACACTTTTATCACCTTCTTTAACTCTACTAAATATAGCAATTTATATTCCGTATTACGTAATACAGCTCGGATAAATTTGATGACTCTTATTATTCTAAGAATAAATTTGATCCTTCTTTGGTAATTGTCCGGTATTCATTCGTTTACGTGTATACGTATATTCTCAAGCTTACGACGCATCGTAAACATTTCGAATTTCATTATTATACACTACGAGTCCGTATTTACATTTTCACCGATGATAAAATACACGCCACGAAAGAGAAATATATCATTTCGTTTAGGATTAATTTCTAAATTTGTTTTCATGTATTTCTCAGGTATTAGGCGTATACCTGGTATGGCGCGGTGCATCGCGGAATCTACGAGTTTACGTCGATTTCACGTTCACTTTGTTGAATCGTGAACATTTCTCAATGAACGAGGGTTTTTCTGGGAAACGAGTGAAATTCACTTACGAATTGCCAGCCCAAGGCAACCGCAACTACATACCAGTATCCGACCTCTATTCACGTAACTTTGCCGATACCAACGGCGAATTCCAGTTGGAGTTGTCAATGGCGAACGTACGTACGGTATACATGACGGAACTTAGAATGCCAACTGGGGTCTTCTCGACTGGTCAACCGAAGTCAAATAAACTTGAGACCGATTGCTTTACCTTCGGTGGTTTTGACTGGAGTGTCGTTATCTATCCTTATGGGAATAAAGAAGCTGAGGGTTACCGGGGCCAGGATCACGTAAGTGTCTATTTGATGAGACTCACGGGATTCGATCATCGGTGCAGAGTAAAATACAGCGTAGCATTGGGCGAGGGTGATCGTAGAGTTGACTCTGGCCAAATAGAAGATCTCTCGAATGCCGAAGGTTACGGATTTGGATGGCATCCGCGTTACAAATGGTCGGATGTCGCGCATAAAGGTGTACTCAGAGTTTGCCTTGAAATGGTCGAGGCAAGAACGATCTGCGAGGTGGCCGTGCAAGCTCTAGGTCCGTCTGTATTGTCACCTACACCTTGTTACGATCGTGACAAACAAGCATGGGTCGTTAGAGCCGATCTTCATTCGGAAACGGTCAGACTCCATTTGGTTTATAAAGACATCAATCACGTACCGCGAAATCATTTGAGGTAAGTTTTAGATTTCGTATATCATATATATAAAACAAACAGAAATATCTTTTATATCATTTCTTATTTTTTTTCTTTTGTTTACAAAACTCACGCGTTATCCTATTTTTTTGTCCAGATACGTGAATTGGTCGGCATATTTACTAAGAGGCGAGGAACCCGACACGGCTGCTATCTGTCTACCGGGTGCACCCTTCAGCCGTTATTACGCTCAAGAATCCGCGGACGAGGGTATCATCATGGAAACGAATTTGGATACTAACGAGATCAAGGACAATCATTGTCCATTCCTCACGGACAAGAAACAATTGAGGATCAGACTGGAATGGAACGAGAGTCATTTGTTATTCCAAGCGACTTATCACAAATACGACGACGTCTGTCGTATTCACAATCAACAGATGAGACGTGAAATAGCATCACTTCAGGCTGAAAATTATACGTTAGAGAGACAATTGTTCAGCTATCAAAAGAGTCTCGCGTTTGCGCAAGCGCAACAACAGCAACAACAAAAGCAACAACAGCAACAGCAGCAACAACAACAACAACAACAGCAGCAACAACAACAGGGTCAACAACGGCATACCGGTCACCCGACGCATTTTGAGAGATCAGCATCGACCGATACTGAATACGCCTGACAAGTGGATCTTGCCAACGAATCGGAAAGTGGCAGCTGTAGGCGACAATTGCCGGTAATCCAAGAAAACGATCGTAGGGTCCACCAGAATCTCGTAAGATTGATGGATCGTCGTTTGAGTAACGTCCAATTGCAACAACATCTTTACGAATCTTACGAACACCAGTCGCAATTTCGTAACAACAGCGAATCATCGCCTAAACACAGCATCGATCGATCCGATGAACATCGACGCAGCATCGTTCAACAACCAAAAAGATCGAGCATTGGTCGTTCCGATAGCCCATCCGATCGTGGCACCGACATATACCAGGCTTATTATATGGGTTACGTCGGACAAACGGCTCATAAACGTCGCAGGACCACTTTGTGGGAAACTCTGACAGGATTAGTTTGTTCCTTGGGTGCTTTAGCCACCAGGGCCGCAAAAATGGCCGCCAGACGTGGGGATCCTCTTTGAAATAATCAATCCGAGGATTGATTTCGAGTCGTATTTAATATTAATTAACTCGTTATTCAAATTTTGAACTGATGTTCGAGAATACATGCACAGAGAAACATAACATAGTTTTATGATTTTAAATAATAAAATGAAATGAGATAGAACGGTCTTATTGTACGTGGAGTTATAATTAACTTAAAACGTGAAACACGTAGTAGAATTTAAATAACAACAATAACAACAACAACAACAAAAACAGGAAAATGTACGTAGAATGGAGAAAAAGGGAAAGAATAAAGAGGGGGGAAAAAAAAGTGGCATTTCCCCGCGTTTTACACGCTACATTATAATACACAAAATACAACTCTATCTACTTGTCAATTTACCGAAGAAGAAGAAACAAAATAAAAAAAAAGTAACCTATTTTCCTCTAAAGACTTTTTTCACCTATTGTGTATGTATGTACGTCGCTGGCGAGGACAACGTATAAGAGAGAAAAATTGAAAAAAAAAAAGAAAAAAGAAAAACAAAAAAAAAAAAGAAGAATAAAACCCCACAAACCAACACACACACACACACACAGCGTCGAAATAATATTATATTATATATAACGAAAAATACACTATACTAGAGTACTTACGCATACAACACACAGACACACACGCACACATATACGTTGTACTTATATAAATATTATAATATACCGTCGTGTACACATTTGGAATGAATTTAAACAAACGAAAAGAAAAGAGCTTGAAGATTCAGATCGAACAAAATTGAGACGACGGGTTGATCGATCGTAAGAAAATCATGAAAATGAATAAAAATATTATTGAAAGTTCCGACTTTTTCGATCAGGGTAAAAAAAAAAAAAAACAAAGAAATACGAGAAGGATAATCAAAAAACAACGTACGCCAACTGAAAATTATAATTAACAATTGTAATTATTTCCTTTTAAACGCGAATTCAGAAACGTGGAAGAAGAAATTATCGATCGATCTTGCCGATTATCATCAAATCCTAGACGATCGAAGTAAAATATTTCAAGAAGAAGAAATACACAACCAACAATATTACCAATAAGAAAAAAAAAGGAAACAGAGGAAAAAAATAAAAAAAAAAAGGAAAACAGAAAAAGAAGAAAAAAATATATGAAGAAACTTATTTTTCGAAAAGTTCTCAGAGAGAGAAAGATTTCGCTATCGTGCGTAAAAAAGAAGAAAAAATAACACAGGAAAGAAAGGAAGGAAAGAAGGAAGAAAAGAAAAGAACACAATTTCAACAAGATTATTATTATTAAAAAAGAAAAAAAAACGCTATCCTCGTGTCGCATGTTCGTTACCTAATTTTGCTCTGTGTCGCCTCAACAACAATCCTTCGTCCCCCTTCACCCTAATCCCTGTCCGTCCCCTCCCATACGAGTATATTCTTGGAATGTTCTAAATATTCACGTGAAATCTCCAATGCGAATTTGATTAAACGGAACGAGCTCATAACAAAACCGATGCTCGTGATAAATGCATGCACACACACGTACACACATACATACATACATACATACTCCCATACACCCACACGCATACACCTCATACATAACAAACACGCGTGAATACATATGTGTGATTTTCCTTGTCTCTCTGATTTGCTCGAAACGGAAAGAGCGTTTAACGTGTCTAATTAAAATTTAATCTCATCTGCGGTGAATGACGCAAAAGTTAGTTGCATGGATGATGATTATTCGTTGTGTCGAAAAGCCCGAAGGGTGTGTGCTCGTTGCTTGCGTGTCGCGTCGTCGTTTAGCTCAATCAAAAACGAGAGAGGGAAGCTTTTATTATTATCGAAACCACGAAGAAACAAAAACAACTATTTATCGATTCGATTTTCGTGTCTTTGAACAAAATATCTTCTTGGTATTGTATAATCTTCGGCAGAGGCGAAATAAGAAATTCTCGATTCTTCTTCTTCTTCTTCTTCTTATTCTTCTTCTTCTTCTTCTACATCTTATCTTCCGACGACTATTCTTCTTCTTCTTCTTCTTCTTCTTCTTTCCAATTTCGCGAACAACAACTAACTTTCCTTCTTAGATTCTTCTTTCGGATCCTATTTAAAAAAGAAAAAAAGAAAAAAGAAAAAAAGATATGACTTTCCAAAAATCTTTTCAATATAATTCGCGCAAAATATTTAAAAAGAAAATAAGAAAAAGAAAACAAAAAAAGATGAACATTTTTAAAATAGCGTCCTCGTCGTGTTAACAATATCTTTCATCTTTCTTCTTATCACGTTTAGTTTGATATTGTTAACGAAAATAATAATAATAATAATAATAATAGAAGAATGCACACACGCACACATACACATACATACAGACACACACACACATAACAACAACAAAATAATAAATAAATTAATTACATTAAAGCACGCGTTTCTTTGATAACGTGTCTCTGATAAATACGGAACAATCAAAAAGTACGCTAAAAAACCACTACCACTCATTAAACTCGCTCAAACATATATATACACATACATATTACATAATACTTACATTTATAATCGTACCTGTGCGAACGACGTGTTACGTATATACCTAAATTCGTGTACGTGTAAATTATGTTGCATTGTCAACAGAATGAATATATGAGTATAAACAAACAATCTTGGTATAGAAGTAACATGCGATCGATGATACATCACATTCCACCGAACAAAACTGTTTTACACGTATGCATACATACATACATACATATATATATGAGTTTCAAAGGGAAATTGAAGACAGTTAATAAATTTGATGAACAATTTATTTGACCTTGTTGAACGTTTCGTCCCTTACTAGGGACTTCCTCAGCAACTTGATCACTTAGTTCAATTATCATAACAGGACACACTGATAGAGGACATCATAATACAGAAGATACTTAGATTATTAAACACTAGTCTAGATAGAATTCAGTATATGATTACGTATGACGAGATAAGGTGTTTTTAGGATTAAATTATATTATAATATGTTAAGTTTTATTGTATTGTATGACTCTGAAAATAAGATAATATGTATTGACGCGTGAACTAAGTGATCAAGTTGCTGAGGAAGTCCCCAGTAAGGGAGGAAACGTTCAACAAGGTCAAATAAATTGTTCATCAAATTTATTAACTGTATTCAATTTCCCTTTGAAACTCATATATATTAATATACTGTTGGGACAAGAATATTGATAATTAAATACATACATATGTTCTATGTTGTCCTAGAAAAAAAAAAAAGAAAAAAAAAGCAAAAAAACATACACACTGGGCCAGATTTAAATCGTCGTATTTCATGCGACATGCACGCGTGTGTATATGCCCTGTTTGTCGTCGGGCGTTCAGCTCTTTACATTTATCAATCCATGAAAAAAAAAAATTATCCATGAAAAAAAAAAAAAAAAGAAAAAAAAAAAGAAAGAAAAATATCCATGAAATGTAACTCACCTCGCCGAAATCGTTTGAACGTACCGTCACGGATAAGAACTGTTCACCCAACTACTACTATCCCATACAATACTATTTTGTAACAAAATATTCCCATCGAGCTATCGTCTTTTGAGGTTTGATGATGATATACATATCTTTTTTCTTGCTTTTAATAATTTTGAATCCTTTCGTTAGAACCCACACACGCTTTGATACGAGTATCGAAATTTGTGATACAACCCTTATATGGGTCGGTAGGTCGTTCAAATTGTCGAAACCTTTACATGAACGACCCGTATATGGGTTGTGTTAGTAACGAAAGGATTATTTTTGTATTCGTTTTTGTTTTGTTTCTCTTCTTCTTCTTCTTCTTCTTCTTCTTCCAAAAACAATGATTTTTGAGAGCGACCAGATTGTTTAGTTAATAAAATATATCCTCCTATCTATCTCTCTTGTTATATCACCACGAGCGAAACGGATCGTTGACAATAAAAGTTCGATTTCGTCCAAAAGAATTCTACTTTTTCGATGTTCTCTGTATCGGTACTTTCAAACATGGTCCAATCCAATTGTAATCGTTACAGATCTCGGTTAGGATATAACATATACATATATATATATTGTACCAAACGCATCCTTCTCTGAATTATCGGAGCGTGTACACTTTGTATATACGTTTATTACAGAAATTAGAAAAGGGAGGATAAAGAAAGAAAGAAGGAAAGAAAGAAAGAAAGAAAGGACAGACAGAGATAGAGAAAAAGGGAGAGAAATAAACAAAAAAAATTTTGATGTAATGGGATTGTTAAGAGAGTTTAGAAAAAAAACAAAAAAAGATAAAAAAAGAAAAAGAAAAAGACAGAGGAAAGAAAGATAATACTTGCGATGCTTCGTTAAATAATATTCGTATTTGTAACGAGGAGTTTTTCTTTCCGTGTACATTTCTTGAGAAATGTGAAACGTTTCCTCCTATTATTTATTTCTTTGACAGTGACTTCAATTATTATCATAAAAAATATCCATGACAAAACCTTGCATTAAGTATTTTGTTGCATCGAGAATACAAATATCTCTTTTTTTGTTGAATATTATATCTCGGTGAAAGATATAGAAAAAAAAAAAGAAATAAAATAATGAACAAATGGTTTAATAAATTTCATTAGACGTTAAATAATAATATTTTCTAATGGATAATACAATTAAAAAATTGATTCATTGAGTAATGAAAATATGTTCGATCGAAGACTCCTCGAACTATAATACGAAAAATTCGAATAAATCGACCCTACATAAGAAAATCAAATTTTCGGGAATTCTAATGAAAAAAGGACTGATATGATGAAGTATTCGCGTTAAAAGGAACAAAACAACCTGCAACAAAAAAAAAAAAAGAAGAAAACTCAACAACAAAATATATGGAGAGATATCCTAAATTTTTCCTACAAAACACTTAAAGAGATATATATATAAAAAAAAAAAAGAAAAGAAAAGAAAAGAAAAGAAAAAAAAAAGAATAAAAAGCTTCGTCGTTCGTATTTACTTATACTCACAATTTCTGATGCATCTTTTTTCTTTGTACGAGAAAAAAAAAGAAAATCTAATATATATTTGCCCCCTTTTTTCAAAGTAAATTCTCAGGAATTTCCAAAAGAAAGAAAAATAATATTCTAAGAGAATAATCTTTGTAAACGTGTTGTACACACCGTCGTTCCCCGTCGTGAGAGATAGCGTTGTCGTTCGTTATAATTTATTTGACTGAATAGAAAAAGCATGTGCTAAAAACATAATCTATAAATATTTCATGCTGATAAAGTAACAAACAGGAACGATAAGCAAATCGGAATGGAAAGAATGAATGTTTCAGAATTTTAACTATCAATCTTGCATAAAATTAATGAGACAGAATCGCAAATAAATAGGTCTTGCACAACGCGTGTTATTTATTGGTTAAAAATATAAAATTATCACGGCTCGATTGTAACACTTTAAAATGACGATTAATATTTATAAGGACGTAAAATTCCTTAAAAAAAAAAAAAATGAAAAAAAGAAAATGAACGAACGACGACGATATTTCAACGCAGTACGAGGAAGCTTCTAACATCACTGTTATATTCTCTATCATTTCTTTACAGCCTATCGTTGCCGGAACTCCTTTCAATTAAAAGATGTATGTTCGTACTTTTAAGCACACTATGTATAGCACACCTTTGCTACCTTTTTTCGTGTGTGTTGCGCTGTCAAATCTCCGTGCATAACAACACACACACACTCTCTCAACAGTTTTGAGAACATATACTAATGTACTTAAACCATCTGTGAGTCTGCCTCGTCTTTTATAAAATTCTTGCTATATTCAACTGTATTCGTGTTCTTTAATCTCCTTTAGATCACAAATGTTACTTTTGTTTTTTATAATAAAAAGAAATAATTTAAACGCGTGTTAAAATACGCGTGAAACATTTTTTTTTTTTTTTTATTTATTTAAATCTACATAAGAAAAATGTAACTCACATCAGTTTAATTTGTACAATGCAGTTGTACGTTGATAATTATTGATTTTTTAAATTAAAATTTAAATATTTAAAGAACGCATGATTTCGTCTCTCCATCGAATACGCCATGCTATCTAAACATTCGAATTTGAATTTAAAAAATCAATGAAAGACGCATACGTCATTCGTTTTATTTCATGGAAACGCTCACTTATATTTTTTCCTATTTTCATGATAACCTGGAAATATCGTTCTCGATAAAATTAAAGAAGTTTCGCTTCAAAAATTCAATTTAAGATACGACCGATGTAAGTAAGTATATATATATATATATATACATGTAATTATAAATACCTACGTATATATTTATTTCGATTAATTTAAAAAAAAACCAACCATATCTTTTTTCGACACGCCATTACGACGCAACGAAGTGGGTGGGGGATTGGTAGAAATTCGCGCATGCGCAGAACCTTGTAAATACACGCGCATCGTCGCAAGCGACAGTCGCGTTACGAGCATCGTATCGTCGAGTAATCGGAATTAAGGTTAGATTCATTTTTATTAAATTCCTCACCGCAAAAAAAATTTGTTTGATTTTTTTCGACGCAATCTATTATGTTTATATCAAACAGCGAACATTTCGTAACACGTATCGTTAAAAATTGAAATATTTATCAGTGTTAAGTAATATATTATGCTTTATTCACCAACGTCTTATGGCCTAATTACTCTCGTACACGTTCGACAATATTTTTCTTAAAACGTGTGTGATTTGATTTTATAAAAAGACTATCGATAATTTAATCGAACAATTTATATATTAATTGTTAAGAATATAAGACAATATTTAAGCGATCGTTATATCGTAAGAAATCAGAAGAATTGCATGTATGGAATTTAAGTGAACTTGCAAGTAAGTCATTTAATTGTTAAGAGGAAAAAGAAAATTGATTCTTCTTAAAACGAAATTATATTTAACTATCAATTTTACATTTTAAGAGGTTACAAAATGTTGACGAAAAAATTAAGCAACAGAAGAATAGTGGTCGATATTCTTGTTCTATTATTTGGTATTGGTGCATGGATCGGTATAAATGGCATTTATGTGCAATTACCACTTTTAATAAATACTGCACCGGAAGGATGGAATTTACCAGCATATATGGTGATGCTAGTACAATTTGCTAATTTAGGGCCAATTTTATACACATTATATATAAAGTAAGCATCATTAAAGATTATGTAAGAATCGTATTAAAATAATATTTCTTTTAATTTGCTTAAGTCAATGTGTATATTCTGTTTTAGGTATACCGCATGGGCATATGATAAGATAATCATATATGGAATGTTAATTGCAGCAGCAATATCTACTTTCGTTTTAGCATTTGTCTACAGTCAAACGTCGGTAATATTGGGAACTATGCATTCGACTGCACTTTTATCTCTAATGTTTGTGACAGCTATCGTTGGATGTACAAGTTCAGTTCTTTTCATGCCTTACATGAGGAATTATCGTGAAATTTATTTAGTATCCTATCTTGTAGGAGAAGGCCTTAGCGGGTTTATACCCAGTATTGTTGCATTGGTTCAGGGTGTCGGTGGAAATCCTGAATGTAGAAATGTTACTAAAGAAGGATCTACGGATTTAAAGTTTGAAGCTTTTTATCCAGAGCCCAGATTCTCTACTCAAATATTTTTCATGTTCGTAGGCGTATTATTATTCTTAAGTTTTCTATCTTTTCTCGGATTAAATAAATTAATGGTAGCTATAGGCGAAAGGGTTAAACTTCCGTCGAGTATGGAAACACTGCCAACGGATACCAAAGCACCACCGAGTTACAAAACTAATTCAGGCTGGACTATGTCCAAACACACATATTATTATTTGTTAAGTATGATGGCACTTGTTTGTTTTCTCGGTCATGGTACTCTTCCTAGCATTCAGTCATACTCTTGTTTACCTTACGGAAATGTAGGGTATCATTTAACAGTAACGTTAGCTTCTATGGCTGGTCCATTAGCTATGTGTTTAGGTTTCGTTATCAAGTCTCCAAAAATCAGTCTTCTTAACGGACTAATGGGATTGATTATCATTCTCTCTTGTTTCGTCTTATTTTTAGCTGTTAAATCACCCAATCCTCCTTTACAGCATACGTGGATGGGTGAACTATTAGTTGTAGTTTCTTGGATATTAGTCAATGGTTTAATAGGATTTATTAAAATGGGTATCACCACTTTGTTCAGACCAGATCCGGGTAGAGGTTTATATTATACTGGCGTTGCTACACAAATCGGTTCTTTAATAGGTGCAATAACGACGTTCGTTTTAGTCAATCATGCAAAAATCTTTGTTTCGTATTCGCCATGTGATGCCGTTCATTGACTCTTGTTCTAATAATTATTTTAAAGAAATGATAGCCATATTTTAAGTGATGTTCCTACCAATAGTACTTAATCAAGTATTAAAAAAGACAGTATCTTTGAAATTTTGGGAAAAAGAAAAATGACAATGAACGCTTGTCAAGTGCAGATAATTAGTTAAATAAATAGACATTATTCAGAATCATACAGCGACGGTTAATTAATTAATTAATTAAATAAATAAATAAATAAATAATAGTTGTCGTGTGTACAAGCATTTAGTTAATTTTAGTAGATTTGTACAGCTGGCCTTGTACGTTATCTACGTAATATACACAATATCTAAAGATTCTATACATTCGTGTATTTAATGAAATTAATGTTGATTTAGGGATAACATTATCGTATTCAAATTTTTCTCATATGCGACTGTTATATCTATCAGATATAAAACTGTTTTTATCTGATAAATTTGAATTATTAAATCGGTCAAACTATGCAAACTAACTCATGTTAAAATTTTATTTATCAGTATACAGTCAGGATATAATTGCGTGAAAGTACAGTAAGTAATTACTTCATCAGATATATAGAATGCAATCACATTTTGCAATATTTTTCTTTCGCAATATTAATTAGAGATTTTTACTTTTATTTTTATTGATATGTTTATTTATGATTTAACTTTGCATAGGTATTATTCGTCGCTAAGAAAGGGTTAACTGCAATCCAAATTGATACAAGATTTCTACAGAAAATGACAGCATTTAACCTCAAGGGATATTTAAAAAATAGACATGGCATTGTACTACATTTACTGGTCGTTCTCTTTGGTATATCTGCTTGGATAGGTGTTAATGGAATATTTGTGCAATTGCCAATACTCATTAATTGTTCTCCTGAAGGTTCAGCTTTACCAACTTATATAGTAATAGCGATACAAATGGCTAACGTGGGACCAATAATATATATGTTTTTTCAACAAATGCAATTTAAAGTTAATGAATTTTTTTGTATATTAGGAGTACTTATCGTAGGAAATATTTCTATGGCACTTTTAGTATTTTTTTATAATAAAACTGTCGTCTTATATAATTCGGAGTATAGTTTGGCTTTATTTATTTTAACATTTTTTACTGCACTTGTTGGGTGTTTTAGTTCTGTATTATTTATGCCTTATCTTCGCAATTTTGACAAAACTTATATGATATCATATTTCATCGGAGAAGGATTAAGCGGCGTGTTGCCAAGTTCAGTAGCATTGATACAAAATATCGGAGGGAATACAGAATATTTCACAAATAGTAACATCACGTCTATAGAAATTGTTTCTAATTTAAACTTTACTCCGTTATATTATTTTCTATTTATCTTTATAGTTTTACTCTTATCTCTTATTGCATTTGTAATATTACAATATTCCTCATTTGTTCAAGATATCAAAGAAAATTCTAAGGAGAATGAGAGTAGTCGAGATAAAATACAAGCTACACGTTACAATGTTAAAAATAAGCCTATTTCCATTGTCGATAAGTTATGTTTAGAGAATGAACTAACGGTTGAACATCATGATGAAAGAAAAGAAGCAAGGTGTCTTAATATACATTATAAAATGTCTCTCTATAAAAAGGCATACTTACTTATTTTAATGAGTTCTCTTTGTTTCTTCGGTAATGGATTTTTACCTAGCATACAATCGTACTCTTGTTTACCGTACGGATATATAACATATCAATTATCTATTACTTTAGTGCAATTTGCTAATCCAATAGCATGTATTATTACATTTTTTATTATACCAGCAAATATAAATATCATTCATTCTTTATCCGCAATAACATTTATATTTTGTATTTATGTTACTTACGTAGCATTGATGTCACCTTTCGTACCGCTGCAAGAATCTAAAATTGGTATAATAATTATATTAATATCGTGGACTATTCTGATAGGTATTATTTCTTATACAAAACTCGTTATTATCTCAATATTTAGACAGATACAAAAAGTTAATATTCTATTTTATGTTGGCATTATTATGCAGGCAGGTTCTGCAAGTGGAGCAATTATTTCTTTTACTCTAATCAATTTTACAGATTTTTTCCGGGCATAAAGAAAGACAAAATAAATTAATATATTTTATTCTTAAATTCTCTCAAATTATTTATCATTTTTACATTTTCTTTTTCTAGATATTTAAAGTAAAAAGAGAAAGATAGAGACAATAAAAATATTAAATAAATAAAAAATATATAGAATATATTTTTAATGTATTAAGAAAGACACAAATATTTTAGTGACGTATATATTAATAAAATTTATATATGTCTATAGAAATGAAATGTAATCAACAAATTAAAATAATTCAATGTTTAGAACGCTTTAATTAACTTGATCATTTTGAAGACAAACATAGTATTTTAATTGTCGACAATTAGATATGACGTTTGTGAAAGTTTTAGGCTAACATTTACAGGGATTAGAAAGATATAAATCGTGTTGTTAATTTAATTTAAAATGATTGTATATTTTAAATATAATCTTGCAACAACGATATTATAATTTTTATTGTTTTTATCAATTAATTAGTACACGCCTATTGTTAATTATATTTATATAGATACAATTTTATTGAAAATAAAAAAAGAGATATAAAAAACAATTCAATGATGGAATTTAAATTTATAAGGTTTATAATTAGCAAAAAATAAATAATTGTAGATGAAAATAAATTTGTATTATTTTCTTAATGAACATTAAAAAAAAAACATTATGTTGTTATATTCATAATTTAAATGTTGTAATATTTTAAGTTGTTAGCCCTGCATTGACTTTCACAAATTTAAAAGAAAGTAAGTGCTACCAATGTTACAATGAGTAGTGAATGAGTCATGCGCACCTATAGAAGGTAAAGAGATATATATAAAAGGTAACAAGTAACACAACAATAATACTTCTGTTAAAGGGACTACTTGCGTGTATGTTTTATTTCTTTCACGATTTCCCTCTTTTATTCTTTATAATATTTATTTATAAAAATTTCCTCAAGGATCGAATATGTTCTTATAAAATATTTGGAAAAAAATATCAACGACTCATATTTATATTCTACATTAAAATGTGTGATGAAGAAGCAAACGTCGAACAAAATGAAAATGATCAATCTGACAGAGAAGAAGAGTTCATTTCATTGTTGGATCTTCCAATCGAGGTTTGACTAATATTTAACAATTAATGTATTATACTTATACGCGTATGTTTATTGTTAATTTAGATTTATTTCTTTTTTCCTTTTTCTTATTCTTTTTTTTTTTTTTTTTAGATATTTCTCCACATCTGCTCGTTCCTCGATGCGGAAACGTTGATGCACAGTTTGAGTTTAGTTTGTAAACAATTTTACGAAGTACTGAACGACGATTTATTCTGGAAAATGCGAATTAACCAAATATTCCAAAATACTGGCTATCCGTTATTGCCTCCTGGTTAGCTCAAATTGATAGCACCTTGTGCCTTGCACGACCAAAATCAATTCTGTAAATAAATATAAACACCATCTATTACTCTACAAAGTAAACATTATTAACAGCGTCGACTTGTGTCAGGCTTTTAATATTTAAGTAATAAGATAAGGATCGTGTTAAAAACGAAACAACAGAGAAAATAATAATTTATGCTTGATAGAACTAATTTCACATTTATTAACAGGTTGCTTTTAATATTATTGTAAATCATCTTCGTTTAATGCAATTTTAATTAACCAAATAATCTTTGTATCTACGCACATTAAAAAAGAAAAGAACAAAAATATCGCACTATTATAAATACTCAAAGTTTATTCTCGATTCTTCAATTCTGTTTGCAGATTAATAGTATGTGCCAAATTGTTAAAAGTTTATTATACTGTTTGTCAAAATGATCTGTTCGTTTCAGCCGAGGATGATGAACTTTTTTGGAAATTGTCATGTGTAGCCATCGAGAAACAAACTTCATTATGGAAAAACGAACACTCGATGGAAAAGTTGTCTCTTACAAATGTACAATACGGTACTATAGATGGTCTTCTGTTAATGCACGTTAGTAATAAATAATATAATATATAATAACAAATGATATCATACAAAATGATAAATAATTACATGATTTTTTTTGTATGAAGGATGGAAAAATTTGTATATCTGGGGCAAGGGATCGATCTCTGGTATGTTGGAATCTTCCCGTTGAAGAAAACGATCATGTGAGATATACTTGTATAGATTTGGCTCATAACGGATGGATATGGGATTTAATAGCGATAGACAACATGGTCTATAGCTGTAGTTGGGATCAAAACATCAAGGCTTGGAATCTCACAACTACTGGCCTTGTCCACTTCAAAACTTATGAGATGTATATGACAACCAAGCTGGTCATTTCTAATGCTCTCATAATGGAAAGGCTGAGCGAGGAAGGCACGAGATTATTTTTCATAAAGTAGTAGATACACGACTAAATACTTCCATGATAATATTACAAAAAATTCTTTTCTATGGCCTTTTTCTATTTCACAAATTTCTCTCCATTTCATTATTAAATCCCAAGAAAAGAAAAGAAAACATATAATTTTAAAACTTTGGGATGCTCTCGCTCGCTCTGCCAATCGAGACTGTAAAAACATATGCATTTTAATTTTTCTTATTTATTAAATACTTAAGCAAAAAATCTTTCTTTAGGATCGTTACAAGTGCTCTGCTTTGCATAGCTTCTTGCCCGGAATTAGCACTCTTCGCTACAGGCTCATTTTGTAAAACTGTATTGGTATTCGACTCAAGAGCAGGATATAATCCTATTGCAAGATATCAACCGCATCAGAGAGCCGTTATTCGACTTGCTATGAATTCTAATTATATATTATCTGCCAGTGAGGATAAAACCGTCTCAATATGGGATCAAAGAGCTGGAAGAATCATGAAAACAGTTACAGTAATGTTTCTCTTCTCAATTCAATTATATTTTCGTTAAACGAACTTCTAGAGATACAAACAAGAAATGAATTGTTTTAGATCTCAAAAGAATCATTTCCTATGAGTATGTCGATGCAAAAAGATTTGGTATATGTCGGCGATAGTAACGCGAAATTACACGTGTTAGATTTAAAGAGAGAGTTCGAACCTGTTAAATGTTACGAAACGGAACATAAGAAAGGAATAACTGGTGTTCATTTTACTACTGGATGCTTAATTACAAGTTCCACGGATAAAACAGTGAGAATTTCAACTCCCACAGATCCGCCACAAAATTTTACAACTCTCACTTGTGGTTATGGGGAGATAGCTAGTGTATGTATAAAGCAATGCATATTTAAATAGATAATATGATTTATTTTCAATTATATTTTACAGACAGATTATTTGAACAATGTCCTTGCTGTGTCTGGTACCGAAGGGATAGAAATTTGGAGACCTCGCACAAGAACATGATGTTCATGAGTCTTATTATATATATATTATTGCTAAGAACATTTACATTTTTATATTCATTCTACACTCTTACGAGGAATTATATAATTCAAGTATATATTATGATTTAATAAAGGCTTTGCTCTATATAAGTTTGCTAGGATATAAAAAGACAATATTTTCTGTTTATTATTTATTTGATAGACAATTGTTTTAATGTAACATTTCATTTATAATTCGATTCAAAAACTTAAAAAAAAACGTAAAAAGACCAAAAAAATATTATTTCTACTAGTCAATATATAATTTTGTTGCAAACAAAATTTATTTATGTCTAATTTGTATATATTTAAAAAATAATTGATAAATATTAGCATCTCCAATAAATTCAAGCGATTTTGTCAAAATAAATAAAGGGCAAAAATCGTATGGATTTATATTGGACAACCCTAATATATTCGAGTAGGCATAATACATAAAGATAGATAGAAAGGTAAAAAAAATGAAGAAGAAAACTATCGATTTTGAAAATGCAAAAAGAAATGAGGTGGACGAAGGAACGATGGACTAAGGGTCGATCGATAGACGGCGCTGCGATTACCGGAAGTAGCGTTCCGTAAAACTAACCGAAGAGGGAATATGAAAACGTTCAATTGTCTATTGCAATGAATGGACGCAAACGTAAAAATATCGACTAAGTAAGATGTGAAATGATAATTTAATTAATTTTAAGGATTAAAAAACTATAATTCAGGTTTGAATAAAATAAGTTTTTCTTTATTTAGATTTAATCGACGACAGAAGAAAAGTGTAACTGGCGCTGGTAGAGGCTATGCTCTCGTGGCACAGTGGTGGGGATAACCGTAGGGAGCTTCCGTTTGTCTGCGAGGTCAGAGAAGGCTGGATGCATTCAGTGGTGCTGGTGAATAACACGATGAAAATGGCGTGGCAACCGCAAGAAGAAGGACTTCGGCAAATCCTTACGCTTCTCAAGGAATCACAGAGCCCGGACACAGAAACCCAAAGAGCTGTGCAGCAAGTATCCTTTTAATTCAATAACATTGATTTTGAACCCCGACTATTGCCAAATTATTTCGTTGAGGTTTCAAAAATACGGGAACGGTTTGTGTGGTACCTTTTCCCGGTCGCGTAAGATATTGGACGCCGATGGTGTACAAATAGATTGGAATAGAAATTCAATACTCTTTCTTTTTCTTTTTCTTTTTTTTCGATTATTTTCATAGATTTATTTTATCGATTAATCGTCCTTGCTAAGAAATAATTCTATTATCGTGGGCAAATTTTCTCTCGTTGATCCTCCCTTCCCTCTCGCCCCCCTTTCCCTTCCCTCCTCCTCTTCCTCCGTACACGTTCACGAATTCTTGCTTCGTCCATTCTGTATTGCGAGTATATGCGTACGCTTTTATGATGTATGTGCCGTACGTATGTGTATGAATGTGTGCAATCGGCGCGCTTTTGCGCAGCTTGTCATGGTCCGACTTCTGTTTAATCCGTTATCCATTTAATTTCAATAATTTTCGTCGAAATTATTCTCATTTAACTTTCATTATTCCAATCCGTATCGATACGTCATATTTATTCTTGCATTTATATTGGCCCATCGATCAGTTTAGAATTAAATGGTTAAGAGCGCGTCGATCGTTTTGTTCGTTTCTCTTTCCTACTTTTCTTCTTTCTTTCTTTCTTTCTCTCTCTTTCTCTATCTCTTTCTCTATCTCTTTCTCTATCTCTTTCTCTCTCTCTTTCTCTCTCTCTCCCTCTCCTCCTCTCTCTCTCTCTCTCTCTCTCTCTCTCTCTCTCTCTCTCTCTCTCTTTCTTTCTTTTCTCGAATAATGTTCCAACACGTGAGAGCTTCTACCGCCAAGAAATATGTTACACGAAATGTCGATTCTTGATACTCGTTATGGACGTTTATTAGTAAACAATAATCTGCTTTTTTCTAGATTCTTCGATATATATCTATAATTATTTATCTACTTTTTCTATTAATTTATAAATATTTTTGTACGCACACACAATATATAAATTATATATGAGCTGCGCGTGTGTATGCGTGAATTCCATTTCCTTTCTTCTCTTTCCTTTTCTTATTCAAATAAAATTAAAGAACGCATTTCCTATGTATTTCCAGAACTAACTTTCCCTTCCCATTAAATCAATTTATGATTTGTTTTATATAGTATATTCCGATGATATTATAATAATAATAGTTTATAAATAACAATTCGTGCATTTTATCAATATTTTTTATGTATGTGTTGAGTATACGCGTGCATACGTACACGCACTTTTACGCATACATCCTATTTTATTTTATATATATGAACTTGTTAACACAGAGAAAAGAAAACTTGTTTTTTTCCTTAACAAATTGTATAGAAATTGGAAGAGCTTAACAAATTTCCAGACTTTAATAACTATCTCATCTTCATCTTGACCAAACTTGTATCAGAAGGTAAGAAAATAATGTAAACGTTGCAGTAAATATAATTTTTGATTGATTGAACATACGGAAAGAAATAATTGTAATTTTCCTTCGATTAAGATGAACCTACGAGATCTCTCAGTGGATTAATATTGAAAAACAATGTCAAGGCACACTTTCATAAGTTTATGCCCGAAGTTACCGATTTTATAAAGCAAGAATGTTTATCTGCTATCGGAGATCCTTCCGCTTTGATTCGTGCTACTGTTGGTATATTAATTACCACTGTAGCATCAAAGGGTAAGCATAATATTATTTACATTGGTGAATTTTGTTTCATAAGATTTTAGAATTATTTAAATTAAATTATATTTAATATAAAATAGGTTCGTTAACAACATGGCCAGAACTATTGCCCGCTCTTTGTCAAATGTTGGATTCACAAGATTACAATGTTTGCGAAGGAGCGTTTGGTGCTCTTCAGAAGATCTGCGAAGACTCATCTGAGATACTAGATTCCGATGCGCTCAATCGACCATTGAACGTTTTAATTCCAAAATTCTTGCAATTTTTCAGACACACGAGTCCAAAAATTAGATCGCACGCAATAGCTTGCGTTAATCAATTCATTATCACTCGTACACAGGCGCTTATGATTCATATAGATAGTTTTCTGGAGAATCTCTTCCATTTAGCTTCTGACGATGATCCAGATGTCAGAAAAAATGTTTGCAGGTACTGCTTCTAGAACAATAATGAATTTATTTATCCCTTTATCTTTCTTTCCCTTTGAAAAAAGAAATTTGAAACTTATGCAATCAATTAAATTATTTTCAAAGGGCTCTAGTAATGTTGCTTGAAGTTCGAATGGATAGATTAATTCCAAATATGCATAACATAATAGAGTACATGCTAATGAGAACTCAAGATCAAGACGAAGGAGTTGCATTAGAAGCTTGCGAGTTTTGGCTTTCTTTGGCAGAACAACAAATCTGCAAAGATGCTCTTGCTCCGCATCTGATGCGATTGGTACCCGTTTTGGTAAGTGAATTTATTTTTTAACGATATGAAAAAGGAATAGACATGAAAATAAACGTGTTTCTTTTCGTAACAGGTACGAGGTATGAAATACTCTGAAATTGATATAATACTTCTCAAAGGAGATGTAGAAGAAGACGAAATGATCCCGGATAGAGAGGAAGACATACGACCAAGGTTTCATAAATCTAAAACACATCATTCGCACCATCCCAATATGAACAAACATACAGACGAAAATGGCGGAGATGAAGATGATATAGATGGCGAAGATGGATCTGATGATGATTCGACACTCAGTGATTGGAATTTACGAAAATGCTCAGCAGCCGCATTAGATATGTTAGCAAATGTATTTAGAGAAGAACTGTTGCCTGTTTTAGTGCCTATCTTAAAGGAAACTTTGTTCCATCAAGATTGGGAAATCAAAGAATCTGGCATACTGGCTCTTGGAGCTATTGCTGAAGGTACAATAATTTATTATGTGAAAATATTTTTTATTTGTTTACAGAGTATCAACAATATATTTTATTTATTTTTAAAGGATGCATGAGTGGAATGATTCCACATTTATCAGAGCTAATTCCTTACTTAATTGGCTGTCTCAGCGATAAAAAAGCACTCGTACGTGCTATTACTTGTTGGACTTTAAGTCGTTATGCTCATTGGGTTTGTGCTCAGCCACACGATACGCATTTAAAACCTTTAATGACAGAACTTCTTAAAAAGGTACTAGATGGTAACAAACGTGTTCAAGAAGCGGCATGTTCAGCATTTGCTACATTGGAAGAAGAGGCTTGCACAGAATTAGTACCTTATCTTGGATTTATTCTTGAGACGCTCGTTTTTGCTTTTAGTAAGTATTGGAAATATAGAGATGAAATTATTTTTATAATTACTAATAATTAATCGAACGTTTTTTTTTTTCTTTCTTTTCCTTAGGTAAATACCAACATAAAAATCTTTTAATATTATATGACGCAATCGGCACATTAGCCGACTCAGTGGGCCATCATCTAAACAAACCAGATTATATCAATCTTTTGATGCCACCATTGATCACCAAATGGAATGTTTTAAAGGATGAAGATAAAGATCTTTTTCCTTTGTTGGAGTGTCTTTCGTCAGTTGCAACTGCATTAAGATCTGGATTTTTACCATACTGTGAACCCGTCTACAAGTTAATGTTTTATCAATAATATTTGATTATTGAACACAAACATATATTTATATTACATGTAAAAATTATTTTTTATAGGCGATGTGTGTCCTTAGTAGAGCAAACATTAAATCAACATATGGCGAGTACACAAAGTCCAGAACAGTTTGATGCTCCTGATAAAGATTTCATGATAGTAGCATTGGACCTTCTCAGTGGTTTGGCCGAAGGATTGGATGGACATATGGAACGTTTAGTCGTGAATAGCAACGTAATGCAATTATTATATCAATGCATGCAAGATGGAATGCCAGAAGTTAGGCAAAGCAGCTTTGCTTTATTAGGAGACCTTACAAAAGCATGTTTTCAACACGTTTTACCTTGTATACGTAAGTATTACATAATTTCTCTAATAATTTATGAATATTAATCTAATTATAGAAACATATAAAATAAATGATTATATTTTGTGCAGCCGACTTTATGCCGATACTTGGACAAAACTTAAATCCTGAATTTATATCTGTGTGTAATAACGCAACGTGGGCTATCGGAGAAATTTCTATAAAGCTTGGTAAATTTTTTTATCTTCTTTTCTTTTTTTCCCCTTTTTCTTTTTTTTTCTTTCTTTTTTTCTTTTCTTTTTTAATTTTTTTCGTTTACGAATTTTTTTATCTTCGATGATATAAATTAATTATAAATATTTAAACGATAATGAAATAATCTTTCTTTTTTCTTTTTCTTTTTTCTTTTCATTTTTGTTAGGATCCGACACAAGTGCATATATTCCAATAATATTGACTCAACTAATTAACATAATCAACCGGCCAAATACACCAAAAACGCTGTTGGAAAACACCGGTAAGTTAACATATTGTCTCTAATTATATTAGTATTTTGCTTAACAGCTTATATATGGGGCATTACTCATAATTATTGGAGAGTGTGTCGTGAAGTTCCTTTAGCAGTGTTATCTTAATCTCTTATTTTTTAAGGTATAATATACTCCATGTACATACATAGGAAAATCATATTAATGTAATTGCGTTTGAATAGTTAAAAGGTTTTAAATATTTTGTATATACAAAAAGTAATTCAGATATTTAAAAATTACAAAAAAGAAAAGAACAAAAAATGATTACACAAAACATCGTGCTAGACGTAGCATCTGATGGATTGAAAATTTTAGGTGCATATTATATTATTATTTTTTTTAGAAATTAATTTCACATAAAAAAAATGATAAATCACAACACAAATCAGCGATTTAGGGTGGTTGTATGTATAAATATAACCACGCTTGCACGTTTATCAGCAAATTAAATTACTAGTATTTGTCTATTATTACCTAATTTAGTGGTGTGCGATTGCCTGCAGGCTTTGGTATGGCTGTATTGCCATAGAAACATACAGTAATTCAGTATATTATGCTTGCATCTCTAAGTCCCAAATTATTTATCCAACAATTGTTTAAATTGGCCTTTAATTATGAAAATCATGATAAGAAATTTGGTTCTGTATTCTTCTTAGTTATTATTAATTTCTCTCTCTATATTTATATATATATTAACATTTATTGGGTAGAAGTCATATATTATTCATATATCGGTTTGAAATATCATATGGGCTCGCACGCTGCTATCTAATTTTGATTATTGTTTCAGCAGCTACAATATAGCACGGTATTGCCTATGTTCACTGTCGGTATTTCATATGTTCACCTGTGTTTCCCACTGTCTCTATTGATTGTCGATATTATAATTAATTATGATTAATTGACTTATTAAATTAAAAGTTAATTAAAGTTTATACGACAACATATATTCGCCTGAGTTGATCGTTGGTTCACTATCAGTTTGTCTTATTGTTTGTGTTTCCGGTCACTTCACTACACTTCACTTGTCTACTTACCGAAAACGAAATGAAAACTGTAGCCATAACGATCGGTCGCCTAGGTTATGTGTGTCCCCACGACGTCGCCCCCACGTTACAGGATTTTGTCCGACAGTGGTGTGTAAATTTCTTTATTATTATTATTATATTCTATTAATTATTATATTACCTTTTCTATTTTTCATTAGCATTTTATTATTATTATTATTATTATTATTATTATTATTATTATTATTATTATCGTTATATTTATTATTATTATTATTATTATTATATATTATTATTCCCAAAATCCTGAATACATCGCATCAAATGCTGCAAATAACTATTACGTAAGATTATTTTTAAGGGATTTATTATTATCGATGTTTAATTAATATTTATATATATATACGTATACATATAATTTTTTTCTTTTCATCTCTATAAAGCATATATTTTCGCAGCAATGGTGTACTACAAACACATAATTATTCTTGGCGAGTGAGAGAGTTAAACATATAATATAATTTTGCGAATCAGCATACCTTTAAAATTAGCGGCAACTTGCTCAATGGTTTCTGCAGCATTTTTATTCTTATTATTTCTTTTTTTTTTTACTTTTTTTTTTATATTGAATTCATGGATTATATTATCATTTTAATTTGCTACCATGCAAGTATGTTGTATGCTCTTAAATATTATGTACTCAAAATATGATACACGGGGGTAGGTTTACATTTGTCACTTTTTTTATTAAGTCGGTTCAATCACTTAGCTTGTAATTACTCTATCCTGTCTTGCATCGAATAAGTTAGGTAAATGTTTTTTCAGTTTGAATACTTTTCTTTCAAGTAGGTGTAGCTTCAATTGAAGATATTTGTGCATGTAGATAATTATATTGCCAAATTGGTATCTGTCAAATATTTCTTGCAGTAGTAGTTTCATTATTTAGGTATTATTATTATCATTACTCTCTTTATAGCTATTGTTGATAAAGAAATACACACTTTCTAGAAGGCCAAACGAAGCGTGGGTAAATGTCAAATGTAAACCCAGCCTTTAAATTCATGATTGTATAAAAACGACGCCAGTTACTTTAACAATAATTACTTTATACGTTTCAAATGTTTAAATATTATTTATTTCATAAAACTGGCCTCGTGAAAAATCAAACTATTATGCCTCATCGAATGCTATTTATAAGAGATTGGTCACCTATAAAATGTTTAAATGAATATTACAATTAAATGGCTAATGTAGCCATTTAATTACATCCATATATTTCCAATATATATATGATGTTACCGTTAAAGTGTATAGTTCAGTTAATGCATGAAAAATCTAGGTCTAGAAATAACAGCGTTTAAGGAAAGCACATAAAAAATTTTTACTATACACTTAAACTAGTTATCTTAGGAAATAACTTGGTGAAATATGAATTTGCAAACGGCTAATAGTTAAAGTATAAGATTGAAATTTGATCCATCTTTAAAGTTACTTTTTTTCCACATCAGTACTTATAGTTATCTGTTCTTATCTCTTCTTCTACTTTGGAAACCAATGTTCTATTAATTGTGCTGTTTTGTCGGATCAAATCTAAAATTCAAATCTCAATTTTATACTTTTATTGTTCGGTGTAGTTATTTATTAGTTTAGTTTTATGAATTAACGGATTTCACGTTTTAATGGTAACTTATACATATATACAAATATATAACAATTTAAAAAAAGTACATTATTTGAAAGGAAAATTTTCAATATAAAAGTGATTCAAGTTTCTATATAATGTGTGAATGAAAAAACAACTGTAATTAACTGTTTATAAAAAAGAAATAATTGTTACTCGAATGATATTAATAATATGTACTATGTGTCTGATCAATGTACTTTTTTTTTCAAAGGTATCTAACACAGGCTATTGAACGAGTTTACTTAATCTTTATTTATTAATTATTATTATTAGGTGTACATCTTTACGGACAATAAGAGATAATGAAGAAAAGGATTCTGCATTCAGAGGTATGTGCCAAATGGTCACAGTTAATCCAGCTGGCGTTGTCAATGACTTCATATACTTTTGCGATGCCATTGCCTCATGGGCTACACCGAGGGACGATTTAAAAGATATGTTTCACAAAGTAAATATCGCAAGAGTGTTAAGTATTATATTAATTGACTTTTCTCTTTTCATTGATACTTTTTAAGTAAATTATATTTAATGCAATGTATAGATTCTACACGGATTTAAGAATCAAGTGGGTCCAGAAAATTGGAAACGGTTTTCAGATCAATTTCCGTTGCCGCTTAGCGAACGGCTTCACAATATGTATGGCGTTTGAGCAAACCCGCCTAAATGTGGTGAGCAATTAGAATTAAATAATTAAAAAACAATCTGTGATACGCGACATTTCGTTTTTTTTTTTTTTTTTTTTTTTTTTTTTTTTTTTTTTTTTTTAACATAAGGTCTTTATTAGGAAATAATTCCAAACTATTGACCGGAAGTACGTATCTTTTATAAATTTATTAATTTACGGAATTGTCTAATATTGTAATATTATTTTCAGAAGGCCGCTTCAAGGGGCAGGCCGAATGGGGTTGGGCGGGCTATAAAATCGTGGGTGGACAGGGTGGGTGGGTGAAACCACGGCCTCTTCTCATCATTATCGTTGTCGTTAATGTGTGTCTTGGTCATCGGTGGAATATCAAGGGGAATACAAAAAAGTATGTCATTGTTAATTGCATTAAAGCAATAAAACGTAAATGGCATAAATGAGAAAAGCAGCGACATAAGAAGAAGAATGAATATAAAAAAAGATATACAAACGACAAATAAAATCAGTGGGCCGAAAAGAATAAGTGGGTGGGAGGGTGGGTGGGTCTTATATAGTGGGAGGGAGGAATTCGTGACCATCAACCACGTTTAAACGCGAATGTATCGTACGCATAATGCCCGCAACGTACTGCATTCAGTGATACCTTAATTTTAGCAAAATGTACATGCTGGATACCGCTCCGTTTCCATTAGCGCTATAATAACACTGTGTCGAGTGTTTAACTCTCGCGTATCGAAAGGAGACAAGTGCTGGCGATCCAACTAGCCCAGCTATATTATATAGTATACATACTAATACCAACTTTGATTAGTTGGGGGATAGTAAAAGCGTAGATCTCACGTTATAGAGCATGCTAAACTACTGTGATCGAAAATTTATATGTTAGGAATTAATCATTTTTTTGAGATAACAAGAGAGAAGAGAAAGAGAGGTGCATATCTATTTAATGAGTTTATAGAGCCTTAGACAAAGTAGGAAATACTTATTTGATAAAGCTACAAATAGTAGGAAAGTACGTTGTAGAAATTTCATATAGTGTACAAATGAAGGTTTTCAAGAGTATGTATTTTTATACGTTTAAAACTTGATGATATATATGCAGAAGAAAAAGTGCCATTCCGTTCATTCTGAACCTAAATTTTTCTGCTTACTTTTAATCCTCTCTTCGATAATTGTGATATTAGGTTATATAACTACATTTTCTCGTCATGTTCGAAGTATGTTAAAAAATACATATGTATATATACTTTATATATGTATGCAAATAATGACCGCGACATGATTATTCTTTTTTTTTTTTTTTTTTTTTTTTTTTTTTTTTAACCCACAGACAATTTTGTGATTTATTACTACCTTTTTTTTCTTTTTTTTTTTTCTTTTTTTTTCTTTTTTAAAATAATTTTTTTTGTTAAAGATATTAAAATTAGGATCATCTTAAATATTAGTGTAAATATAGTTAATGCATTTTTTAGAGTCAATGTTTTTGTTATCGCTGATATATATTATTCAAATCTTTTTTCTTATTATCAATCACAAGTTATATAATGTTATTTGATTTGCAAAGACATTATTGGTATTATTTACAGAAATTGTTCACAGAGTTTTTGAATCTATGACGTGATATCTATCGCAATACTAATTTTACGTGCTCAATTATGATCTCTCTGGTTGATTTTAAAATCTTCGTGTAATCGTGAAATCTTTTTTTTCTTTTAAACCAAAAAAAAAAAATTAAAACATCTCGAGCGCAGACTGTCTCATTCCAGTCCGATTTTAGGGCTAAGTAAAGAAAGAAGAAAAAAAAAAGAAAAAAAGAAAAGAAAAAAAAAACAAACATAATGCGAGCACTTTTTTTACTGTACAAGATGCGCTTTTATCTCTCACCATCGGCGTTCAAAATTTGTTAGGAAACCAAAAATACTGTGACAAAATACTGTACCAATGACAACTTAAGATATATATATAATATATATATATCTAGATCAAGAAAATATGATTGTGCTGTTACGACATTCAAAACAAGAAAACTACTGAAATGAAACAAACATACGATAAAATGATTTCTAGAACTTTTACTACTAAATATTTTAATTTTAATTTTTCTCTCTCTCTCTCTCTCTCTCTCTCTATCTATCTATCTATCTATCTATCTATATATATCTTTCTCTTTCTCTCTCTTGTATCTATCAAAAAGAGTTGAATGATGTAAAAAAAGAAGAAAGGAAGGAAGGGAGAGAAGGATGTGTAATACGAGAAAAATAAACTGACCATCGTCGAGAGTCACTGTTGTCAATGAAATAATTCAAGTTTATCAGTAAGAAAAAATAAAAAAAGGAAAAGAAAGGGGGGGAGAAAGGGAACTAACAAGCAAGGAATAACTTGCGCGGGCGAGCAAGCAAACGAAACGTTTGATTAAAAAGACACACGTGTAATAATATTTTTGGTATGATTTAAAAATACACCTCCCGTCATAGAGAGGAGAGAATAAAAGGGTTATTATTTTTTGAGAGAGGATTTTTAATACTCGAGCCCTCATTATAGTAGATTCCAGTCGTTGATTTAAAATAGAAAGAAACAAACAAACTCTAATAGATAAAATTTTACATGCGATTGATAATTGCTGCTACGCCGAGAAAAAATATTTCTAGCTCCTGTCGTCTTTAGAGAAAATTCTGGTTTGCACCTTTCAAAAAAGAACAGAAAGAAAGAACAAAAAAAAATATCAATATAATAATTCTTTTATTATCCTTTTTATACATTTCGACAGATGCAAGATAAGAAATCTTATACATACATACGTACATATATATATAAAAATTATATATAAAGAAAATTATATATACAGCCTTTTTTCGTCCGTGCAAGAAAAAAAAGTTAATTCATGTTAAAGAAGGTGCGTGTTTGTACGGTCGTGACTGTTTCTTTAACTTTATCCAAGCTTGTCAATCGGCAATTAATTATATAGTACATATATATAGGTATACATATATATATATATATATATATA